TCAGCCTCCCAAAGCGCTGGGATTACAGGCTGAGCCACCAAGCTGGGCTTGAGCATCCTGTTCTTATTTCATGATTGATGTCATTTCATCTCTTCTGATCCTATCATTGCTTATTTATCTAAGTTTTGTTATATTGCTTGTTCCTTGTGTTTACTTTTGGTTTCTCTGTTTCTTGTTAGTGATTTTCCTCAGATATCTGGTTGTCCTTGCTATCCATTTATACTTAAGAGTGAGGCTGAAAAGGCTCACTGAAGCTCTGTGAGTGCTGATGGGGCCTGTCAAATGTCATGAACTACATGTTTGTGCCTCCCAAAATTCATATGTCGAAACCCTTATCCTTGTGTGAATGGTATTTGGAGATGGGCCTTTGGGAGGTAATCAGGTCATGAGGGTAGAGCCCTTATGATGAGATTAGTGTCCTTATAAGAAGAGACATGAGAGAGCTTTCCCTGCTCTCTTTATTTCTCCTCTCCTCTCCCCTTCTTCCTCCTCATTCCCCTCCCTTTCTTTTCCTCCTCTCTCTCTCTCTGCTGTGAGAGGACAGCAAGCAAGAAGACATCCATCTAAAGACATCCCTCAGCTCTACTGGTGCCTTGATGTTGGACTTCCCAGCCTCCAGAGCTATGAGAAATAAGGTTGCTGTTTAAGCATTCGGTCTATGGTATTTTTTTGTTATAGCAGCACAATCTGACTAAGGCATCAAGGTAGAGGTATGATCAGACAAGGACTTAGCTCTTTAATTGGGAGACCCTCAACTGTCAAAACCTATAGTCATTTCCCTTGGATAATCCACTTCTTCAGAGAGGAATCGAACAAGCTTTTGTGTAGAGATGAGAGCGGCAGTCAGGGAGCAAAGGAGGGCCATATGTATTCCTGGTTGCAGCATTCTTAGAGCACATGGAAAATGGAACTAAAGGTCACCAGTCAGACTGGGGACTTTTGCTCAGACTCCATTCTGCGTCTTTGTGGCTGGTGTTTCTAATATGGAGACCCCTCCATAGACTAAACCTTCTGGCAGGCTGCTGACTTTCTACAATGTGAGGCAGGGATTCTAAGGGCTCTAATTTCTTCCTATACCAACTGTCAACCATTTCATTGAAGGGAATACCTGGAATCCTTAGTTTCTGAGTCTTTCCAGGGGCTGTATATGACCTTGCTTACTCAAATTCATTCTTGTAGGCATTTGGTTTTCTTCCTCTTTTTAGATAGCCATCTGCTTTTCTGGTCTTGAATTTTTGTGGCCATCTCTTTTCTGCTTTTTCTCTTTTGACCTCCTTTTCATTGTACATGGGGTTTTGGTTTTTGTTTGTTTTTGGTGCGACAGAGGGTGAGGGGAGCTTTTTAAATCCCTTAACTATAATTCTTTTCAGTTATTGGGACATAAATATATTTATTCAACTTGCCATATGTAACCAGGAAAAAGGTATCCTACTCAGAACCCTTTAACAAAGCATCTGAACCCTTGTACCTCTGAAAGTCTGCATCTTGTCTTCACACTTTGTTAGAAATGGCTGCTATAGAATGCCAGTTTCACATTCATTTTCCTTCAGAGCTTAGAGGTTTTATCAGACTTTAAGTATCCACTGAAACTGATGAGGAGACTTCTGTCTTGTCATGGGATTCCTGTTCCTTTATATGCAATCTGTTTTCCCCTCTCTAAAGAATTTTTAATGGTCTTTTCTTTATCCTTGATTTTCAATTTCACACATTTGTCTCTAGGGGTGAGAATTCCTTTATTCATCTTGTATGGTGCTCAGTGGGACCTCCCCGCCCCGGGAGGAAGGACCCTCACCTCTGATTCCTCCTTCTTCTCTATGTCTTAAAGGGCATGGCCCCTGTATTCTGGTTCAACCGTCAGTAGATTCCCGTTTGTTTTCGATCTTCAGGAAAATTCTTTAAAATCTCTGGACCGATGCTGCCCACGCTCTTCTTAACTACGTTATGGACTTATTCTCTTTTGTGAATCCTGTAATCACAGTGGGAATTTAGGGAGGAGAGAGGGTAAACATATGTCTCCATATGTTCTAGGTCAACTTGACCTAGAAGTTTCATTTCTCCACCTTGTTCATCATCTTAGACCTCAGAATGCCCTGGTCTTTGCTTTCTAAGCTAACTTGTGGTTATTTGTATGAACCTTCTCTAGAATATTCTTAGAGAGCAGACACCGGTTTTCTTAACATCATTTTTGTGCATACCTAGAAAAGACAGTTAATTAAAAACTGTATATCAGAAGAGAACCAAACAATCTAAAGTATTGCTATTGCCATTTATTTTATTTTGATTTTTTTTATTTTTGAGCCAGGGTCTCACTCTGTTGCCCAAGCTGGAGTGCAGTGGCATGATCATGGTTCACTGCAGCCACGACTTCCTGGGCTCAAGTGATCCTTCCACCTCAGCCTCCCAAGTAGCTGGGACTACAGGCATATACCACCACACCCAGCTAATTTTTTTTTACTTTTTGTAGAGATGATGTTTCACTATGTTGCCCAGGCTACTCTCAAATTCCTGGGCTCAAGTAATCCTCCATCTCAGCCTCCCAAAGTATTGGAATTGCAGGTGTGAGCCACCACACCCAGCCTGCTATTTATCTTTAATTATAACATTCTTGAGTAAAAACAACCAAAGCAAGACTCTGAAAAGAGAATTCTGTGATTATAGTTCACCTTGTTCTTTTTTCTACTCTTTTTTTCACTTTTCTCTTCAAAATTGTCATTATCCCTAATTTCTTTCCCCTTCTTTCCTGATGGGCATATTTGTTTTTGTTCAAATTACTTTCCACATGCACTTTTGAAAATCAGTCTATAAAGTGATTCTGGAGTTCGTAAATCATTGCAGAGTGCCTGGAGAAATGACACTATATTAAGGTGCTCATTAAAAGAGACTGCCAACAAGTCTTAAATACTTTGATCTTTAACTTTGAAAATAAAAACATTTAGCTTTTCATTAATCACCTGAACTACATATTTCAGTTCTGAACTGTTTATTTGGGCTTGCTAAAATTAATAACAAGCTTTCCAAAACCATTATTTAATAGTTATGTCTTCTACCCTATCAAATTTTCTCAGAATAGAAATAACAAAAATGTATAGCTTCAATATGAGAGCAATTAGTGGCCATGCAACAAAAATTAGGTATATAAGGTGAAAAATTGATTTTATATAACTCAATTATGTTAAATGTTATAACACAAACTGGAACCATAAATAAGTCATAGATTTTTTGCTGTTAGTAGTCATCATAATTATATCTATCAATTCTGAAGAATTTTTTTGTTTTGTTTTTGGTTAAATTTTATTCATTCTCTAACCAATCAAAAATCTTTGATTTATTTTCTAGTCAAATAAGTTGAGAGTTTTTATAAATGTGAACAGAAAGTTTATTTATTGGTATAAAAATTTTAAGTAACAATGGAAATTTCCCAGACATATCTTCAAAAATCTTGCTTATTATAAATGTTAGAAATAGCATTAAAATGTTAATACTGAACTTAAAATTGCTAGCCTTGATGAGATTCACATTTTTTATTATTAATTTCTGAAGAATTTCATTTTCCATAAAAATAACTTTGACAGTTAAGTGAAAATATAGTCAGAAATATTACTATTCTCAGAATTAATTACTGGGTTTCTTCCATCTCTATTGTTGTTGTCATTCTGTCATTACATAATAAGAACCAAAAAATAGGTATTTTAGCAAATCATTTGTTAATAAGTACTGTTATACAATTGAAACCAAAGATATTTCATATAGTTTAAATCTCAAGACTCAATTATCCAAAGAAAATATTCTGAATTTAAAATTTGCTTCAAAAATGAAATGGGCTTAGCTTTTCCACAGTCTTTGGCATAGTTGAATTTTTTCATGGAAGCAGAATCCTGAACGAGGAGCCCCAGTTTGGCTCAGTGGCTGACTGCAGGGTGATTTGTCATCCCAGGTCCTTAAACATGCCACTTGGCCTCTAGTTCAATGATTTTCCCAATCATAAATTAAGGAGACTGACATTTTTTTCTCTATGTGTGAGATGATAGCATTTGTAATGAAACCCATTTCTTCTATAATCTAAACCTCTGTTTTCCACCCCAAACATTAGAAAATGTATGCTGTAGGAAAAAAAAAAGTAGTATGCTTAGGTCAATTAAACTTGAAGTTGGACTCTGAAAAATTATTTCATTCAGCTTCAGGTTTAAGCCTTGGAAATAATCTTAGATGCAAATAATGGTAAAATCTTTCTTTCTTTTTCTTTCCTTCCTTCCCTCCCTCCCCCTCTTTCTTTCCTTTATTTTTGACAGGGTCTTGCTCTGTTGCCCAGGTTAGAATGCAGTTACTCTAACATGGTTTACTGAAGCCTCAAACTCCTGGACTAAAGCATTCCTCCTGCCTCAGTCTCCCAAGTAACTGAAACTACAGGCATGCCACCACACTTAGCTAATTAAAAAAAAAAAATTGTAGAGATGGGATCCTGTTATGTTACCCAGGCTGATCTCAAACTCCTGTGCTCAAGCAATCCCACTTCAGCCTCCCAAAGCACTGGGATTACAAGCATGAGCCACTACGACCAGTCATAATTTTCATAATGAAAGCAATTATTTCATTCACTGGTGCCAAAATTTATCTTCATGAAAATTATACCATTTAAAGGAATTCCTATTGATCTAGAACAAATGTTTGCTTTATCTTTTCAATTACCCAAAGAAAATTTTTCTTCTTCTTAAAGAAAAAATATTTTTAGTATAGTTTTTGGTTTTACATTACAAACTACTTATTGAAATTTTGAACAAATTGCCCTGTGGAAAATTATTTGTGACAATTTGCTTGAAGTTATTATTTCAGAATTTATGGACTAATGTATGGGAAATGCATGTGTGAGAGGGTACATATCTGTACACATTTTTTAAAATGAGAAGCTTTTAAGAGAGTACAAAATAGAAAGAAAACTTGCAAGATTCAAAGCACAGATACCCTTAATTGACAACTTCCTTGTCAATTAATGAACCACCCTGCAGTAATTTTACTTTAGCAAATAAATGTGTATTCTGTTTCTTGTGGACACCGTGTTAAATAAGAAGACTCCAGAGGAAAGGTCAAGGACATAAAACCACAGGAGCTTTTAGAGTGGGTCCTCAACTTGGCAAAAATAAAAATAAAGGTACTGTGTTCCTTGAGAAACTGCCCCTAAATTTTCTTTCTCTACTTTAGAGTACGGCAATGACGTGTTGAGGGACTTTGACCAGTCTTTGAAGGTTTAAAAGTTGTTAAACACGACTTGATAATATTTAGCATGTTTACAAATGCACTTTGAAATAGTCACACTGCAACCTATATAAAAATAAAACTGTGAACAGCTGGACAAGAACACTGGTCTACTCGCCGAACTTTTTTCCAAGTTCCTTGACATCGAGGATTGCCAATTGCTTGCCAATGGAGAGTTTGATTTCTGAAATGATATTTTGAAAACGTTAGTTGCACTAAAAGAATACCAAAGAAAATTCTAATTTATTTATTCTGAAAATTTTTTTTATGATTTTGTTTTTATTTTTATTTTAGAGATAGGATCTTGCTCTGTTGCCCAGACTGCAGTACAGTGGAGCTATCATGGCTCACTCCAGCCTCGAACCCCTGGGTTCAAGCAATCCTCCCACCTTAGCCTCCCAAGTAGTTAGAATTTCAGGCACATGCCATCATGCTTGGCTAATCTTCAAAAAAAAATTCTGTAGAGACAAAGGTCTCACTGTGTTGTCCAGGGTGATCTCTGTCTCCTGGCCTCAAGCAATCCTCCTACCTCAGTCTATCAAAGCACTGGGATTGTAGGGGTGAGCCACAGTGCCCAACCAGAAAATTCTAATTTACAAAATTTAAAATTGAAGTTTTTTCTTTAATTGATCACACAGAGTTTTGAAGTGCATTACAAATCAGAACAATTCTTAATGATCACAAAGGCAGTTTCCCTTCTTCAGCTTCTGTCAAAGTAAGTTGCCAATTAATCCCTATTTATGCTGTCATGTTGAAAGAGAGTAGTTTGCTTTTCTCACTTGCTCTGAATACAAATATACCTAAAAGAATATGGCTGACTGTTCCATATATATTTAAATTAGGAGGGTCTGACTAAATGATCTCTTTTCATCCTTTCCAAACCTTTGATCCTGCAATGAAAAAATGCAAGAAGTGGAAAAGAGTTAAGCCAGATTATTAAAAATATTATTTTTAACGTAACTTGTACCTCAGCCAGGGTTTAAATACTTTCTTTATGGGTACAAGTTAAATTATAAATTCATTTAAAGTCAAAATATGGATGAGGTATTCAGAAAAATATTAAGTTTTTATTGATATGAATTCCTTACCCATTTTATTGTTCATATGGTATACTCAATAGAGGCCTAAAGGCACAAGTGACCAATAAACATAAATTCAAGTTATTAAATATTAAAACATTCTACAGAAATAATAATTAACTGGAAAGGCCCACATTTTACTTTTTAATCTGTATTATTACCAGTTCCACTTGATATACTTAAAACCATTATCCATGTGTGACCTAAATTGGTCTTTGTCCAATAGCTGCCCTGCATGAACTTGATGCTTCTCTTAGTTATAAAAAGTGTTATTGGATTTAAGTAATCAATCAGTACAGGGCCAGAATAGATTTACAGGGCGGTAAAATGTTTTTGGAGTCAATTCTTCCAGAAAATCTATAGATTTGTATAGGAAATCACTACCCTACAGAGCTGAACCCACCACTAGCTCCCTCATGATTTTAAGAAAAAGCCCCGCTGAGCAGTGGTTCTGAAACTTTGTTGTTATGAACCATCTGGGTAGGGTTCAGCGAACTGTGATCACTTACTTACACACCAAAGCCAGCCTACCCTTCTTTTTGTCTGTGAGTTCAAAATGATTTTTATGTCTTAAAGAGTTAAGAGAAAATAAAGAGTTATAAGAAAGTGAAAAGAATAACATTTTTGTGACATGAAAATTACAGGAAATTTAAATTTTAGTGTCCATAAATGAAGTTTTGTTAGAACAAAGTCAAGGCTTACATAATGTCTATAGGTACTTACATGCTACAAAGTCAGAGTTGAGTAGTTGTGACAGAGACCACATGGCCTGCAAAGTCAAAAACATCTACTCTCTGGCCCTTTACAGAAAAAGTTTTCTGATCCTTGACCTAAGAGATTATTAAAAATTTACCTCCACAACCACATGTGGTGGCTCACACCTGGAGTCCCAGCACTTTGGGAGACCAAGGCAAGAGGATTTCTTGAGGCCAGGAGTTCAAGACCAGTCTGGGCAACATAGTGAGCAAGACCTCTTCTCTAAAAAAAAAAAAAAAAAAAATAGCCAGGCATGGTGACATGTGCCTGTAGTCCCAGCTGCTCAGGAGGTTGAGGTGGAAGGATCACCTGAGTTCAGGAGGTCGAGGTTGTGGTGAGCCATGATTATGCCACTGCACTCCAGCCTGGGTGACAGAGTGAGATTTCGACTCAAAAAGAAAAAAAGAAAAAGAAAAAAAAAACCCCACCAAAGAGTCTAATTTAGTTTGTCTGATGTGGAGTTTGGTAACCTGCATATTTTAACTCTCCAATCCCGAGAGATTCCGATTCAAGCGATCTTGGGAATACTGCTTTGGAGCGATAAGGGGTTTTTTTGGTGTCCATTTGGGAACTTGATCTGAACCCCAGTATCCAAATTGAGCCATTCATCTCATACAGAGCCTCTGAGTTTCATGTGAGGAACTGGAGACCTAGGCTCTGGATTGCCAGATAGATGGTTCTCCTCACTTCCTGTTTTGACTCCCCAGATTATGCCTTGATATGTCCCATACCAACCAGCTGTGTGGGACCTAGAGAGGACATCTCTCGGAATGAGTGACAAGAAAAGCACTGCAATTTTCCTCCTTACCCATCAGAGTCCAGGCCATCTCCAGAACAGCGAAGGCTCACAGAATTCATAGCTGGTGGCTGACAATCTACACACACTGTGAATCCCTCTCGGAGATATTGCATCCATCTAGTCAGGGGTCTGTTTTCCAGAGCACAGTGTGGAGTCAAGGACTCTGTCTTGAACTCCATACAGTATCTAGAACAAAAGAAGTAACAATTTCACTTGCTGTAATTAGAGGTGGCCTAATGCTGTAGAAACTTGTAGGAAACCTGTCATCTCCAAGGGCATTTGAAAGACTGCAGCACATAGTAAGTACATCAAACACAGAGTGTTTTTCATGTTTCTCATTCATGGTACCAAGACAACATATAACTGACAACCATAGAGAACTTTTTGTTCTTTTTCAGTCCATGATTGAACTATCTGGTCAACCTGAATTTTGCAGAAATTTAGATATCCTGTATTTACTAAGTAGTGTATAAACGCATGTGTTCTAGTATAAAGCTAGCCCTTGATGATTGCTGATGTTTTAAGGAACTCTATAAATTGAACAAAGACTTGCTTGAGCCTGAAAGCCCTTAAAATGTGAGTCTAAGAGAGCTAGTTCTTGATATTCAGACCAGCATCTATGCTGTTCAACCTCACAGAAGTTCCCAGGAGCCTTCCTTACACTCCCCACCCAGCTCACCTGCATGATCTGGGGTAATGGTGATGTGTTTTGATTTGAAGTCAAGCATCAAAGTTATATTGGGCAACACAGATGAAAGCAGAAATGAGAAGCTGAGACGTGTTTTTGTGTGACAGAGTAGTGTCACCTTATACTGAGCTGTGGAAAACTCTACCATTATGTGTGACTAGATTTTGAAGGCCCCAGGGGAGCAGCAAGACATGAGTGAATGTTTTAGGATCTTGCATTTAAAAGCAATTTATTTTTCCAATTATTTGGGGAAACAAAACACAGTAAAAACTCTGAGTGTTTTAGAAGAACTTTGTTGCATTTTCAGTTCAACAGTCTAATTCCTTATCCATAGAAATGTGAGTTCTGATAGGTTAAATGAAAAATGTTTAGAGAATCTGCTTTAAATATCTTTAATTATGATAGGTACTATTTGTTAGTAACTAAAGGTTTACATAAACTAAAACGAGTACTTTTAGTTATTGAGATAGGAAATTACATGATTCCGCTTCAATCAGAAGATATCTCTTCAATGCTATTTTCTCATTAAATGGTATACTAACCCCATGTGATAGGTTATTAATAGTCTCACCTTTTAAGAAGAGAAAACTGAGGTGAAACAACTTACCCAATGTCTTATGGTTAATTGGGAACAGTGTGGGGCTCTGAACATGCAGCTTTCTGGTATCCCCTATCTGATGGCAGAAGAGGGGATTTCAGGCAAGCATGAAGGTGCCTTCCAGGCTGAGCCATTAGATTTCAGTAGGAAACCTTCTGTTTTGAAATGTGTGCCATTTTCCAATTCGCCAAACAGAGATGGTACTGGAGCCTACGGTCCCGTAAAGACTCTAAGGGGAACATCCTAAGAATGATTAATCCTTAGTAGTATCAAATGATATTGATGAAACAGTATCTTCTTGTTTTATAGAGGTTTTTTTTAATAAAAACTTGTTTTATAGCTTCTTGTTTCTTCTTGGAGATAATACTTCAGAGGCAGGTAAATCTTTACAGCCCCACAAAAACAGGGAAGGGACAGATACTTTCCCAACTCTAGTGAAGTCACATTTTACCCCAAATCAATGAACAACTAACAGAAGAAAACATAATCAAATCAAGTTGACACTTTCGGATGGACTCAACTACGCAATAAAAACAAAAACATAATTTAAGCAACAAAACACTAAATTACCCAGCATCCTCTGTGTGTGTAGACCACTGTGGAGACGCAGCTTGTCTTACTCTCTCCTTGTTGAATGCAGAGGTAGTTATAAAGGCAGGGACTAGAAAAAGGAGAATTATGTTGAATACATGGAGCCAAAGTACTCAGAGCAATATCTCTCAACCTTGGTTTCATATCTGTCTAAAGAGCTCCATCTCTAAACTCAAGGGGCTACAGCACACCACCAAGGAGTGAAAGGAGGCTAAGTGACACATTCCACACCACAGATGTGTATGCATGCAGAGGGGAGCTGGGGGCCTTTGGCGAGCACGTTTGTCTGCAGAAATAAGACTGTGTGAGAGGAAAGAGAGAGGCCAGGAGGAAAAACCAGGAAGAAATAAAAAGGTGGGGGAAAAAAACAAGGAAAAATTTGAGGTAATAGAGTTTATAAAGAGAAGAGGATATTTCTTAAAATAAAAAGAAGAGAGACTGTGTGTGGTGGTTCACACCTGTAATTCCAGCACTTCAGGAATCTGAGGTGGGAGAATTGCTTGAGTCGAGGAGCTCAAGAACAGCCTGGACAACACGGCAAGATCTTGTCTCTACAGAGAATCAAAAATTGACCGGGCATGATGGTGTGCGCCTGTAGCCCAGCTACTTGGGAGGCTGAGGCGGAAGGATTGCCTGAGCCCAGGAGGTCAAGGCTGCAGTGAGCCATGATTGTGTCACTGCACTCCTAGGTGACAGAGTGAGGTCCCAACAACAACAACAAAAAATAATAAGTTAAATTTAAATAAAATAAATAAAGATGAAAGGAAGAGAACTAGAGAAAGAAATGGAAAGATAGGAAAAATAAAGCAAAAGAAAGGAAAGAGAGAAGGAGCAAAGGAGAAAAATAAGATAAAAGAGAGAGAGAAGAGGATGGAAGAAGAGAAAACGGGCAACTGGAGAGAGAATAAAAATAAGCAGGGAACCTCTGCCCACCGCATGGTGGTAGAGTGGCCAGCACAGCATCATCCCATGCCAGCTTCTCCCCCCAGCTCTACTCCAACTCTAACACTCTAAGATGGAGAAAAGAAAAGAAGCCAGGAATCCTTCTTCCCACCTCTGCTTTCTTTAATTTTCTTGTGCTTGTGTGCCTCCTCCCTATTTCGTCACGACTCTAGGGAAGCATTTGTTGCTGTTTAGCACCTAGAGGTCACCTCTTGATTAATCTTGCTGTCAAATCGAGGAAGGCAGGATTTTACCTTGCCCACCGCTATTCCCTTCTCACATTTACACACTTAATAAATATTTGTGCAATGAATGAATGGACCAATGAGTGAAGGATTGAGGTCAAGAGCTTACCGCCAAGATGCACAGGTCCTACTTTCCTGTGGTCTTCTGTTCCTATACTGAGCCTTGTAGCCAAGATACTCAACAATCCTTCCCACTTTTTTCCTTCAGAAACTGGATGATCCCCAAAAGGCTAGATACAAGCTGACATTGACATGTGAGTTGCCAAAGTCATCATCAAAATGAGCTCAATGGTGTGAGGATACCGATTGCAAAACAGAGACTTCCAACCTACATGTTTTGCCTGGCCCCATGCTGTCCCAAGATGTCAGGCCTTAATTCTTGGGTTAGGTTTTCTTAATGAGGAGTCATTTTTATATTACTTGGGAATATAAGACAAGAGCGGCCTAATATCAGGTAGCTACTTGCTCCCAAGAGTTGCAGGTGTAAGTACACATGAGACGGACAATATGAAAATTGTCCACATCTAGATGAAACCCCAGATGCCCAGCTCGTGTAGCTCTTTCTTGCTACACTGACATGCCTAACTGTTTTCCAAAGGGAGCATGTCAAACTTTCTAAATGTGGATAAAGCTTTTGCATTTTTAAAATCCACAGATAGAATTTAAAGGAACAAGCATGTATACCAAGATCCTCCTCTGTTCTTCTCAGACACAAATGTCTAAAGGATTTTAATTTCTCCATTTATTTTCATCTCTGTTCATTAGACACATTTATGTGTTTATTCACTAAGAATAAATTTATTGCTAAATCCATGCAGCATTATATAAGCCAGAGTAAAAAATTTTCAGGATGTTTGTTAAGCTTTAAACATTTACATAATCTCCTAGTTTGTACTTCATACATCATTATAAAAGTTCAAAAGTAAAGAGGTTCTTAATATACAGCTCAGCCGGGCTTGGTGGCTCAGCCTGTAATCCCGCACCTTTGGGAGGCTGAGGTGAGTGTATTGCCTGAGCCCGTGGGTTCGAGACCCGCCTGGGCAGCAAGACCTCATCTCTACAATAAATCAAAAAATCAGCCGGGCGTGGTAGCACATGCCTGTAATTCCGGCTACTTGGAAGGCTGAGGCGGAAGGATCGCCGGAGCCCAGCAGGTCGAGGCTGCGGTGGCCGGGAGTGGCCACTGCACTCCAGTCTGGGCGACAGAGTGAGACTCCAACTCAAAAAAAAAAAAAAAAAAAAAAGTACAGCTCAGGGGGAATAAATGAGGTCAAGAAGTGGAAGGAAAAGAGAAATATATGACTCTAGTTTCTGATATAAAATCCTTAGAAAATGTTCTATAATAATAAAAACAAAAGCTAACAACTATGCACCTCCAAGTTTCCAGGCACAACACTAAGTCATTTTTCAGGTGTTAATTCATTTAATTATCACAGTCCTCTGAGATAGAGCTGATGTTTTCCCATTTCACAGGAGAGACAATTATGACACTGAGAGGTTAAGAAATGTATTTTAGACTCACATCTAAATATGGCAGAGCCAGGCAACTTCTCCAAAATCATATTCTTCAGGGCAGCTCTCCACTGCATATGTGATAATCCAGATTACAAAGCTCCACTATTTTATGCAGCATATTTCCCACGAATTAATTAAATTCTGGTTTCTGCTCCCCTTCTGCTCCTAATCATTATCCTCTATGGGAAGTCAAATTTAGGAAAGGAGAAATTTAAAATTTTTTTTTTTTTTTTGAGTTGGAGTCTCACTCTTTCGCCCAGATTGGAGTGCAGTGGCCACTCCCAGTCACCGCAGCCTCGACCTGCTGGGCTCCGGCGATCCTTCCGTCTCAGCCTTCCAAGTAGCTGGAACTACAGGCGTGCGCTACCACACCTGGCTAATTTTTTTGATTCATTGTAGAGATGAGGTCTCACCAAGGGCTCAGGCAATCCACTCACCTCAGCCTCCCAAGGCGTGGGATTACAGGCTGAGCCACCAAGCCCGGCTGAGAAATTTTAATTTTTAGCCCACTGTATTCAAAGTGTACTCAGGCCACACAAGAGGTGTGAAAGGTGGGGATTGGTGGGGGGGGGGGGCGAGACCATGGCCCAGGAGGTGGGGGAAGAGTACGCCGTGGGCACAGAGTTACCCCCTTGTTATGATGAACCTTATATTTTTATAAGGTTATAAAAATTTACAAGGTAATTTTACATCATATGTTCCCAATCTTCACAAAAACTGTGTAAAGAGACGTTATGCCAATTTTATTCATCAGAAAACTGAAGCTCATAGCGGTTAGATGAAAAGGAAAATAAAATAAATGACGAAGCAAGAGCCCAACACAAAAGACAGCATCCATTTTTTATTTTTTTAAGACTTCCTATCATTCTCAGTTTCACACCCCTGTGATTACAGCACATCCTAAAAGCAAGTCTGTCCTCTCCTCTCCATGTCCTGCCCCCCAGGTCTCAGGGCTTGATTTGGGGCCACATTCTATTGCCAGGGTTGTCCTTCCCCCTCACAAGATCAGGAGCCTGATTAACCTGGAAATCCTCAAACCAGCACCACTTTTTAATACACTCTACAAATTCAGTTTTCATTGCTTAAGAGTGGCAAATAATTTTTGCCTTCAGTCTTACTTCTGCTTATGTGTGGAAGCACATACCAGGGTGCCCTGGGACAAAGGCTCCCTATAAATGTTGGTTCTCCCTCCTCCCTCTTCCTGGCAACAGTATTCAAAAGTAATATAGTCTTTGTTCACAGATGATTTGCCAAGTTTTCCAGCATTCTATCAGCCAACCATTGTTCAGTTTTACAACAACTTCTACTTCTAAAAGTATGGTGCGTCACATACTTATTTTGAACATGAAAGTACATCAGATTTGCTTTGAGAATTCCATAACACCCTTTGACACAAGGGAGAGTCACAAAAGCGGACCTAGGATCACTGATGTGTAGGTATAGTGGGGAAGAGACCAAACTGGACCAGTAACATCTACCTGTAAGCATATGGTTCGTTATAATGTGCACTCATCTCCTTTTAGAAAGAAAACACACATAAACAATTGTCAGTCACGTGCAACAAATTCAATAATGTGGCTTTTTGTTTGTTTGGATTTGTTTTTATGGTAAAATATAATTAAAATATGTATTAAGTGAAACAGGAAATATTAAATAGCTGCTCAATCATTAATAAGAGAGTTTCAGCGGTGATGTCCTGGCTTCATAGGGCCTTCATATTTCTACTTAGTTACAAGAATCTGTAATCACAATTTTAGCTCTAATTATGACAGTTAACAGCAAAGCAATATTGAAGGAGGAAAAACCCACAGAACTTAGTGCCATGAGATCCAGGTTTAAGTTCTAGTGGTCCTTCACACATGTTGTGACCTCTCAGAACTCCAATGTCCTCATGGGTAAACCAAGGATAATGACCCCTTCTTTCCTCCCTATGGTGATGCCCCCAAAAGATGTCCATGTCCCAATCTCTAGAACCTATGAATAGGTTTTATTACACAGCAAAGAGAAATTAAGGTTACAGATGGAATTAAGTTTGTTGCTTCATTTACCTTAACATAGGAAGACCATTCTGGATTATACAGGTGGGCCCAGTGTAATCACAAGGGTCCTAAAAATGAGTTGGTCAGAGGGAGATGTGACTACAGAAGAAAGGCAGAAGGAGATGCAATGTTACTGGCTGTGAAGACGGAGGAAAGGGCCCTAAGAAAAGGAATGTGAACAGTCCTGAAAGATGGAAAATTCAAGGAAACAGATCCTCCCCCAGAGTTTCCAGAAAAGAATACAGCCCTTCTCACACCTTGATTTTCACCCAATGAGACCTATGTCAGACTTCTGACACACAGACCTGTAAGACAATGCATTTCTGTTG